GCGGAGGGCCCCGAGAGGACACGAGAGGGCACTGCAAATGGTCTGCGTTTTTCCCTACCATCAGAAATGCGTAGCGAGAGATCCCGTGAGCCAGCGCTCTCCGCAAAGCCTACTCAACAACCTGAACTCAGCCGATTCACCAGGACGAACGGGTTCGTCGTGAATGAGGGAACGCGCACGCGCACGTGCATGCCCAACAACGAGAGCTAAGAAGTGCACGCGCATGCCACATCAAGATGTCCGTGGCGAAGCAAAGACGGCAACTGAGGAACATGAGGACCATCTCCACAAACGCACCGCGCGTAGTACCCGCCGAAGGCGCTGCACCTCCCCCTGTGTCTTTGCTCCTCCAAATAATGCGAGCTCCTTTTTGCCCACAGCATGTGGAAGTTCAGACCAGTCGGACCGCTGGTCAGCGCTCACCTTCCCGACATGGAACGACAGATGAGTGCACTATACCCCCTTCGCAGCAGTCGTGCCCCAAACATGTCCTTGACCAAACACTTTACCCCGTTGGCTGCGTAACCGAAGGCGCGGTTGTCCATGGCGGCGAAGACGTAGTTGGCCACGGCTGCGAGGACCAAGGTGCCACGGCCGCCAGCGAAGACATGGTTGCCCATGGCGATCGCAATCTCATTATGGTTATCGGACTGGGTAGTCGAGGCCTTGCTAGATACTCTAGCGGCACGGACAGGCGGTGCACGGACGCCATTGTGCACGGTCGGGCTGGGAATTGCGACCCAGCTCGGCAAGGGGGCGGCGGATGAATCCTTGAGCAGATAAGGCTGTCGTTCGGCTTCCGCCGACCTTCCGCCGGTTTCCGCCGACAGAAGACCAAGAACTCAGGCGTCGTGTCGTTTTGAAAAACCTGGACCCCGGAGGTCTGCACCACTTCCCCGGGATCGGCGTTTCGTCCTGGGCTGTCTGCTGACGGTCCCAGGGCCTCCCGAGGGCCCCTGGAGCCCGAAAACGGCGAAAGGCCTTCCGTCGTGATCTTCCACAGCACGAGGTTGGGGGGAGAAGGCAACTCCTCGATCTCTCGACGGCGCGGCCCTTCCTGGAGCGCCCTGGGCAGGAGAGAGGGCGAGAGGGCCGCCAAGGCCCGCCCGCCTCGAGGGACCTCAGCCTGGCGAGCTCGGGGAGGTTCCGGGGCAGCGCCTGGCGGGGCCCTTCCCGTGCCTCCGGCCCGGAGCTCCACTCATCCCTGCCTGCACATCACCTCTCCCTCGTCCTCCCTCGTTCCTCCTCCCCTCCTCCCTGCTCCCTCCTCCCTGCTCACTCCTCCCTCCTCTCTCCTCCTCCTCCTCTTCCTCCTCTTCCTCCTCTTCATCCTCCTCCTCCTCCTCCTCCTCCTCCTCCTCCTCCTCCTCTTCCTCCTCCTCCTTCAACTCCACCTGCTCCGTATCCCCCTGCACCCGTCTCCTTCTACCTCCTCCTCCTCCTCCTCCTCCTCCTCCTCCTCCTCCTCCTCCTCCTCCTCCTCCTCTTCCTCCTCCTCTTCCTCCTCCTCCTCCTCCCTCCTCCTCCTCCTCCTCCTCCTCCTCCTCCCCCTTCGCTGCGAAGGAAGGTTCCAATGAGGGCCTCCGAGAACAGAGAAATCCGCCGACCCCGTCGGCCTGTGCGACACAATTTTCTGTTTTCGTCGTCGTCGCCGTCGTCGTCGTCGTCGTCGTCGTCGCCGTCATCGTCGTCGTCGTCGCCGTCGTCGTCGTCGTCACTCTCTCCTTTTCCCTGGGCCCCCTCTTGAAGCGATCCAGCCAGACGGAAATCGAACAACGTCGTAATCGAGTCGAAAGGAAGCCCCTTCCATTTGATCCCCTCCCCGCCGGGGGAGTGGGGGCCCAGGGGGGGGTCGCTGGCGGGCATCCTGGGCGAGGGGCCAGAGAGCGAGCCCCACAGAGCCGAGAGAAGGGGGAACACCACTCGAGTCGAAGGGAAGGCCCCTGATCCCTTCCCCGCCAGGCGGGGTGGGTCCCCGGGGGGGGGGGGGATCGCCGAAGGCGTTCCCGTGAGGGTCCCGGGGAGGAATCCCGAGACCAACGGGGCCCACTAGGGCCCACACGAAGGCTCGCGAGCGTCGTCGTCGTCGTCGCCGTCGTCTTCGTCGTCCTCCCTCCGGGTCGGCGGCACCAGCCGCGAGGCCTTGCCAACAAACCCGAGGCCGACCCCATCAGGGGAGACCTTTGTCACCGCCGACGGGAGTTCTATCCCCCCGCCAGCGCCCCGACGGGAGCCGACCTCCGGACTGCCACCTTACCATTGCGAGGCGGGGATTTATCCATATCTACCGACTGGGAATCGACGTCCTGGTGCCCCAGCGGGCGGTGGACATGGATATATTTCGGCCCCTGGGGGCCCGAATATGTCCATATCCGCCGCCTGCCGAGGCTCCGAAAACTGATCCTACGGGCGGTGCTCATGTACAAATTCCCGCCTCGGAACCAAGGCCGAGCCTGGAGATCGGTTGGCAGCTTGCCCGCCGAAAGGCGAGCCGCCGCCC